GGCAAGCATTTTGTACCTTTGCTACTCCCCATCGGTGTGTCGAGCTATCAAATCGAGCTATCAAGTAAAGACTTGTGGATTCTTGTGAAGCCACTAAATGATAATTTGGGTGGGTAGAACTAAATGCCCCCGTCGTCAAACTGGGCCTTGTAGAAAGTACGGGAAACTAGCAAGCTGGATAAAATCCAGCAGAAAATTGTCCGTACAAAGGACTTCCCGCTACCAAGCTGAGGCTAAACATCAAAAAAGTTCATCTTTAGTCACCAGGCCATATGTTCACAGCCCATCCATCTCATCTTATACAAAACGGTCAAGAGAGATGAGAGAGTACAGACGGTGACAGAGGGAGATGGTTTAAAGAGCGGACAAAGCACGAGGTCTTGATCCATTCTTGACATTGGCACCACCACAATTACACCATCTGCTCGCAGACGTCCACCTAGGTTCACTCAACTCTTCAGGTAATCCCTACACGTCAACAATTACACTTGAAAAAGAACAGTAGTATTGTCAAGGGTTTGCTACGGAAACTTAAACAGAGAATGGATGTTATAGGAAGGGGGCGAGAGGGAGCTGGAGTCAATGAGATCGCCAAGGGTAAAACTTCGGTGGAAAAAATTACCATTCCATAGATATAAAAATACTTAGAATAAACCTGTTCGCAAACTAAAACAAACCTGAACATCCGGAGAAGCGCTGCCTTCGTCGCGAATCAGTAACAAGTGACTGAGACCGTCGATAAAGACCTCTTTTTTGAAACGACCACCTGGAAATCCTTATATGAGCATTTACAAAAGAATGTTTAGAAGTATTGGGTAAGCATTGGACAGGTCAGCCATAACAAATGAGGCCAAACGGCTCGGCTGTTGGTCTGTCATCATTTTCTCACAACCCTCGCGGACAGTTGACCGTCGACTCCAGACCACAGTTGTTGCACCATAAAACACGATAAAACCCAATGAACTGCTCGCCACCCACAACGATGGGCAAAAGGCACAGAGATATTTCACCTCTGACATGGCAGTAAAAGACTCTCAACGATCAATTGTCGCGATTCGAATGGTCAAAATTGTACGCGGATGTTCAGAAAATTCAAAAAAAAACATCGAAAATGTTCAAAATATAGGAGTGAATAGCGCGATATCCGCCACCTATAGGTAAGCTGAATGGTTCACAGCGGCACGAAAGCAACTTCAAACACAAAGGGGACCCTCGTAGCGAGCGGTACCCAGTCATCCTTGACCCGAGTTGACAAAAGACAAATTATTTTACTGCTCCTGAGAAAGACCCGTGCATAAGACGAGGGGTAATAAATAGCACAAGTGCAAGTCCAGGAAAGCCCAAGAAATTTAGTCCGAAACTAAATACAACCTGAAATTAGAACATCAAGAAGTGATACCTTCTGGACTTTCTTCAGCAGTGAAGGTTCCCGTGAGGTATCGATGAACAAGAGAGGTCTTGCCGGACGATGTCGTACCAACGATTCCCTGCAAAAATACTGAATAAAAATAAAACTACTGAGTTGGTTAAGGGGGGACATCAAATGGAAACCCAACCAAAACCGTATCAAGGTCAGTCTGCACTGCGTTAGGTCATCCACGACTATGACGGGAAATTCAAACATGACAAAGAACGAGAAACACTTTGGTAATCCGCACCGTAAACACCTTACTTAACGCATCAACTAAGCACACTCATTGTGCTGCACGTCCAAACAAAAGAATTCAATCAGTTAGCAATAGGATCAGCTGCTTTAAGACTGTTCAAATGATCGACACCCTGGCGCCAATACATCCGAACGTTATGCAACACTTCTCAGCTGAGACGAACTTCATCGAAAACACCGCGATTTCAGAATTTTGATTGAAAATGTTCAAAAAAAAACGGTGCTGTTCGGCTGAGGGGGGGGGCATCTCCCACTCCTGTAATTTCTTTTGCTACTTTCTGCTGAATTACATGTCTCAACTTGCAGAGACCTGTAGACTCTTGTCCTCGTGCAAACGATGCTTTTACTTAGGCATAGCTTTACAGGAATTCACAGGTTTCCACAGGAGGCACTGGCAATGTTCGATACCAGCAAAATGCACCCACTAAGCCGAACTGCGTCAAAATTCTCG